CGACTTTTATTTGGACTTCTTGATGAATTTCGACTTTTATTTGGACTCTTTGTTGTATTTTCAAGTTTTTGGCAAGCTTTATTTCGAGCTTTGGCATGAGCTTCATTACTTTTAAAATTTTTTAACATAGATCTGTCTTATAAGGAGATCCAAACTCATAATTCAAACACTTGTGGCGCGATACCTTCCAAAGGCATAAACGAGCCTTGGAGTTGACAAAGCAAGTCATTGTTGGCTTGTAGAAACTGCTCTTTTTCTCCCGGGACAAGACACTTGGGGTGAGCCAGAGCCGCTTGCAGTTGCTCGTACGGACATGCTTCAATGTCCTTGTGGAGTTCAACAACCCCTCGTAGCTTGGCGACTTGACTCCAGGGCACAAAGAGGGGAGGTGACAGCAGTTGCGGACAGGGGATGCATGGACAGGGTCAGGTCCCTTCGTCGAGTCTCGTTCGATTGCTTTAGTGAGTCGATCTGCTCTTCTGGCAGAAGTGTTGGACGAGGGCGTGGAAACTGACTCCACGTCTGCATCATTGTCCTCTGCCGGAAGACAGCTAAGGCTGTCCCCCTGCAGTTGCGCTGGAAAGAGTTCAGTCGCTTGGGGACGAATCGCCCGCCACTTTAGTAGCAGGCAAAAGCGCAAAGCACTGTTACCAGCTACTCCGGAGAAATAGCCTGTAAATTTACACCCACCTACTGGTTTCCAAGTCTCAATGACCCATGCTGGGGGCAGATTAGGCATGCCTAGTATGGCGATCGGCAGCGTTTCCCAAGCCTGCAAAGCCTCAGCGAGACCAGCTCAGACGAAAGTGCAGAACCAGCACCCCCGACAGAAGTACCTGAGCCTGTCAGCCCAGAAGCCAATGAATCCCCAACCTCCCCCATCACAATTGGCAGCACAGAAGAAGAGCATGACGGCTCCCAGCCCAATGCCACAGAGCCATCTGAAGAAGCGACGCCAGCCGCGACAATTGCCTCCACCAGTAAAGGAGACAAAGCGCAGGAAAGCGCACTGGGACCGTTGCGAGTCCGGACACCAGTGCAGCAGCTTTTGTTGTTGGACAAAGAGAGCAGAGTGAGCATGCAGAGGAAACTGAGAGTGGCAGCACGGACGAAGGACCTTGACGGCAGTCCTGAAGCCATCCCTGCATACCCTGCAAGGTCGCCCTGTTTTGCACGAGTGGAGGCGCTGTGTGTGCAGGTCATGCACAAGTCACCTTAGTCGAGTTAAGAAGGAGTTTCTAGACAGGTTGCACAAAACACGAAAGGACCAAAGCAACCCAACACCCACCAAAAAACAACACAACAAGACCCAAAACGAGTGCAACCTGTAGCGCAGCTCCGAGAGCCAGGAAGGCATGAAGAAGGTAAGACAGGGGCGATGAATTCCGCAAAACGCTCAGTACTTCTTGTTCTTCATGAAGCGGATACCCTGCAAGGTCGCCCTCTCCAACCACAAATGCAGCAGCTAGTGATGGTAAAAAGAGCAATGGTGGTCACCCGTGTGGTCGCCCTCTTGCATCTCCTTCGAACACCAGCCCCATCCACCTCCCTGCAGACAGATGCCAGCGCAAGTGCAGGAGCTGCCCTGCCCCGGTGGCGCCTCCGGTCAGCTTGTACGCTAATTTGCTGCAGGAATGGCCCCTAGCACGCCTCAGTGTCCAATTACGGCGCATCGTTGCGCAGCTCAGTTTTCGCGGGGTCAATTTTCGACAATTGCCGCGTGAAGTTATGAGAAACGTCTGTTTTGACTTTAATGATATCTGTGGCAAAGAGGTTTTCGAGCTTTTGTGTTCTTTTCAATTTTTGCGCCTCCAAAGCATTCCAACTTGGGAGATTTGGCTTGTTCATTGTTTCAGAAATGAATAAAGTAGTTAGCTCAACTTAGTACAGTTGCCAGCTTCTCACGGGCCTTGCACGCAACAGAACAATGCTTTTGCAATGACGCAGCATTTCTCAAAGTTAGGGCACATCCCGTTTTGGCACCTTTGTGTGCCGAAGGGTGCCGAGATGACCTCCCTTCGGGGGGGTGTGACTTTCGCACCCTTACCTGCAGGCTTTCGTCGTTTGCTATGGCCGCCACTGCCTGAACACTACCAACTACTATGCCTCTTGACTTGTATGTGCAACCAGTTGCAAGGGTTGTGCTACAAGAAAGGATTTTTCCACGGCATGATCTGCATAGCAACCACTGATCCAAACAGGCAAGGATCAGACCTGCGTTAGAGCATACCAATGCCCGGGACTTGCATTGTGACCTGGTTTTTGCCACTCTGTGCAGTGGCCGCTGGTCACTGGTAATAGAGATGTGAAAACCATTTGACGACTTCGTTGAGATTTCACTAGAGCACAAACCCTCGCTATGCTCTTCTTTCGTGAATTCAGGCCCATAGATAGTCAGCAGTCAGCGTCTCACTTGTTTCACCCTAGTACAGAGGAAATACTACTTGATGGTGGAGTCTCGGCCTGTGGGCTGTGGTTGGCTTTGTTTTGTTTGTTGTTGGGTTGTCTTTGTCCTTTTCTCCACCATCTGACTGTATTTCCCTTCCTTCAATGATGACCTGGGCACCATGCCCACACGGCGTCCGTACTCGTGGAAAAAATATAGTACAGTTGCCAGCTTCTAGAAGCTGTTTCCAGATGACATTTGTGCTGCAAGTTGCCACTTCTGAAAACATGTGGGCGGAGAATTGTCCACTCGCCAGAAGTCTTTTGCAAGAGTGTCCTGCAAGAGTGTTCCACAGAGCAACGAAAGTGTCGCTCAAGAGTGTCTTGTGCAAGAGTGTTCACTCTGTTTGGCGTTTGTTTCGAGTGCGTGCTTGCATTCGGGTTTGTGGGTTCCATTTTTCAAGTTTCCAAGTCGTGCTGATCATGGGAAAAACGGTGTTGTTGTGTTTCAGATGAATGAACAGCATGACCTGGAGGGGCAAGACAAGCGGGTCACACAGCCACTGCAATTGGAAAATAATCGGAACAAAGCGAAAGTACTGTACATGCAAAACATGTTTTTGGTTCGAAGTGACTATGGCAGGATGAGGACGTTGGAATTTGGTTTCTGCGCACAAACCCTTTTTACCTGGCCCAAAAAATCGGCATCAGCATGCCGACAAGATGCGAAAACAGTGTTTATAGGTGTTTCTATTTTGAAAGCCGTGTTGGCTATCAGGTCTGGTGACATAGTTATTGCCGGAAGTTCATTGTGACAAGAACCAAGCGAGCTGTCGATTCGTCTGAACCCGTTATCCTTAGGTAGTTCTAGTTTGCAATCATTGTTGGATCCCATGCCTGGAGTGTGAAGACAGTGAATGAGCTCGGACGTTGTTCCATTGCAATGCCTGAATGCCAACTCATGGGCAAGGGGCTCGGGGGGGCTTGGATCTTCAGTCACATGTTGTGCACGAAGTCACAGAGAAAACAAAACAAAACCATCAAGTACTCTGAAGGCAACAATTGTTAAGTCTTGTCCTTTTGTGCCTGCCATCTTGGAACGCTTCGCAAAGCGTTCCATGCACCTTTGATTGGGTCTGGAATGCTTTAGCTTAAACATGTGCTAGGAGCTCTTGTTTCTTCTATACTCTTGTTTCAGCTTCCATCCGAGGAACAGTTTCCCAAGAGAGACAAGAACACTTAATTTTTGACAGTCTCAATGTTTTCTCATCAGCAGTTTTTGCGCACCCTCTTGTCACCATAAACTTGAGGTTTGGCCAACCACAGAAATTACCTGAGCCTGACAAGCTAGCGCTTGCTCACAAACCAATCGGTTTTGTTGTTTTAATTAAATTTCCATAAAATCTAGGAACAAAAATGAATAGTGCGAGCGCTTCTTCAAGGAAACTCCCCCCTCGCCGCCTTCAGGCCGGGGGAGCTTCCTTGAAGAAGCGTGTAGTAGCTACTTGTTAGCTACTAGCTACCTAGCTAACCTACCTCACCTCTAGACGGCCTAGCCCCGTTTCTGGATTGAGGCCATGGCGCACTCATCAGCTTCTTCAGGCTGATCTTTCGAGGGTTTCTTGTTTGGGTAGGGGCTCCTGGCATCTCTACTAGTAACAAGAAGCTACGATCGGGGCTCTTGGCCTTACTACGAATGGAGCGATCGGACGCTACTACCGGTAGCAAGTTGGGTTCGAACAACATGGACGGAAGCGGCCCGGAGGAGGTCTTGGACGAAATGGAAGTGGTGACTCTACTAGTGATGGCCTCCTGTCTGCGTGTGTGACTTCTGTTGCTAAGAAAGGTGCAATGTTTTTTTTTGAGATCATGACCTTGCATCGCCTTGCCATTGGGATTGACGTTTGCAGGGTGGTCGAGTCTTTTCTAGGTGCCGAATGTTGCTGTGCCTTTGAGATTTGCTCTTGAAGGGTTTGCTTCGAACCCTTGTTTTTAAAAACCTCGGCATACCTCGGCAAAAACTGCGATTTTGAGTGATGTGGATGAGTCGAATCAGTGAACGTGGGGTGTAGGTATGAAGTATGAAGGTGTGGAAAAGCCAGTTTGCGTGGCAGGCAAAGTACTTTGGCACTCTATGCTGAAGATACTGGGGGACAGTTTTGGGAGGTGAAGTGTGAGGTTGCAACGCTTGGTGAAGGGGATTGTGTGTTGGAGGTGGCAGTGCGGGCCGGATCGGGCCGGCCTTGGCAGGGCGTGATTTTGTCTTTTGTCGGAAGTCTCGCGACTTCTTGGGCTTACCTTGTCCATTTCAGCCGCAGATTCCGCGTTCCGTTGAGATGTCCGACATTCCCGCTTCGGGATTTCACTGTCGCAGAGGTGTCCAACGTGAGTGTGGTGTCAGAGAGTCTGAAGACACTTGACAGACAGTCTTCCATTCGGCTTAATTCGTCGGTTCAATTCTGTTTTTTTTCCAAGTAGAGACGGGTAGTAAAGACGGGCAAAAAGAGATGCCCTTGCTCCTAGTAGCGATGCCAGGAGCTACTAGTAGCATCCTTGCTCCTAGTAGCGATGCCCTTGTTCCTAGTAAGCAAAAAGAGGAATTATTCAGAGAAGTGACAAACATTGAAGGCTGTCACTGTAGGAAAAGAAGCGTCCTCCGTCATTCTTGCAGGTTTAGAAGTGTGGCGAAAGCGGCTGGAGGCGCTTTTGTTTCTTCGCGGATGTTGCAAGTCGTTCTTGGTGTTCCATCCCAGTAGCGATGGCCTCCAACCTAGTAGCATCCTTGCGACATGAAGCGACAAAACAAGAAATGCTTCGAGTCACTCGTTGCAGGAAGCTTTGGAAGCTCTGCAGTCCGAGTCAACAAGTTCAAGAAGGACGTGACTTCGGACTCGACGAACATAAATGCTTGTTGGAACCCAAAGATACACGGCCTCCAACCTAGAAGCACCCAAAGATAACAAACATCGTTAGGAAGGCAGTTGCCCGACATGATTCTGGTGTGGACGCACCTGTGCTGCAACCACTCCAACAGATGATGATTAAGAAGTCCACTTATTGTGCTTGGCCTGTTCATTCCTTTAAGATCCAAATCCAAAACCTTGGAACCAGTGATGCAAACTCATCGTACTGATGAAACTGACATGACCTTTGAACGCCGATCTTGGAGACTTCAAGTTCTGAGCTTACGCAAGTTGACAAGTTGACAAGTAAGGCCGCCCCGTTCGTAGCTTCTTGCTTGGATATGGCATCAAGGATCTCATTGACATCCATTTCTTTGCCTTCGCCAAGGGTTTTCGGTGTCAACATCGCAGTAGAATATCGATAAGCGGAGCACACTCTTCTTCGCAGTAGCAGATATGGAATCCGAATGCTTTGGCGTTACCAAGAGCTCTGCGGCACATGGCACATGCCGAAGCGTTTTCGTTGGCCACCAAAATACTCTTCCAGGAACAAGAAGCTACTAGGAACAAGTGCATCGCTAGTAGTAACAAGTGCCTTACTAGTAGTAACAAGAAGCTACTAGGAACAATTCTCTTCCAATTCTCTTCTCTTCGTCTCTTCGTCCTGTGCCGCGTAGGTCAGGATGTTCGGCCTCTCCCTGTGCGAGCCCAGCGTGTTTGGTGGTAGCGAGCCTGTGCGTCTGAGTGCCGTGGGACCTTTGGGCGCCTGCGATTTCGCTTTGATCTCAACGGCCAGGCAGACCAGGCAGACCACCCTGATCAAGACAAGGCGTTCTTGGGTGCACGGTCAAACTTGCAAACTTGCAAATAGTGACGAGAGGGTAGCGCGCGGTCGTTTGAAAGTCAAAGACTGCATTCTTTATTCCCTTCTTCTCCTTGTGCCAGACACAAACTTGGGAAGAGGCTGGAGCTGCACTCTGCTTCAGTCTTTCGGATGAATCGGATTCTGCAGACCTTTCGAGCAGAGCTCCTGAAAATGGAGTTGCAGAATTTGGAGAGTGAGGCAGGACAGACAGACTGGATCATGCCAGCACGAGTTCACTCAGCGGATTTCCGAGGTCCAACGGCTGCAGCTTCAGCCCCAGGGTCGGCACCGATGTTCTATGACACATAGAGGACACTGGTGTAAATAGAGTCTATGACATAGGAGCAAGGGCATCGCTACGAACGTAGCTCCTGGCCTTACTACTAGGAACAAGAAGCTGTATTATTCTCAAATTCCGTTTCTTGTACGAAGATATAGAGCCCAAGACTTCAGTTCCGCAAGACGAGTGTCTCGGTCGGAATTCCAAGGGCGTCCGACGAGGTTCAGAAGTGCCTGGCTCCTAGTAGCGTTCTCTTGTTCCTAGTAGCGATGCCCTTTGCTCCTAGTAGCTTCTTTGTTACTAAAGTTCGCAAAATAATATGCAAAATCAAGAGCAACAAGTCCATCTTTGCTAGGTGGAGGTCATCGCTAGTAGCAACAAGCTTGAAAGGGTTCAGTTGCTTGCACTGAACTAATGCTTTCTCAGGTGAAATTTTGCAGTCCCTGAGGCGGGTGGCGTTTCCGTTTCCTCGGTTCCTTCGGTTTTCAGCGGGTGAGTCAGGCATGAACAGAAGCTGCTTCAGGAGGAGCTGAAGGCATCCTGACTGGTCGCTGTTTCCAGCTCGTAAAGCGAAGGGAAACAGCTACCCCACCCAGCTTGTTAAGCTGCTTAAATGAAGGTCAGGTCCTTTTGTTACAGGGACCTTGTTAAAGGAGCCCAACTACCTTCAACTACCTCCTGGCATTACTACTAGTAGCAAATAGCTACTAGTAACAAAGAAGCTAGTAACAGAGGGACGCTACTAGTAGCTCCTGGCCGTACTACTAGGAACAAGAAGCTACTAGGAGCAAGGGCATCGCTACTAGGGGCTCCTGGCCTTACTACTAGTGACAAGAAGCTACTAGTAACAAGAAGCTACTAGGTGAAGGCCATTCCTATTAGGTTCCTTTAGTGAGAAAGGGTCAAGCAGCGTGTTAAGCCGCGTCTTTTGGTAGGCCAGTGGCCACCGGTGGCCACCAGATCCGTCGCCGTAGGCTGTGAGCAAAGGTGGGGGCGGCGGGGTGAAGAGGCCATTCCTCTCAGGTTGGAGGCTATTCCTCTTAGGTCAGAGTCAGAGGGCATTCTTACTATTTTTTTAGACTTTAGACCTTTCTAAGCCTTTTAACAAGAAGCTACTAGGAACAAGTGCATCGCTTCTAGTAACAAGTGCCTTACTAGTAGTAACAAGAAGCTAGTAGAAACAATAAATAGAATTAAACTTTGTGTTCTATTCTTCTTTTTTTTTGCCAAACCATCAATTCTGTCATCAAGCAGTGCACCTCTTCAGGTTCGAGACAGCGACACGTGAAAAGCCGACGGCGTGGTCACGGTGCGGCGAAAGTTCTGCACCACAAAGAGTTCGAAACGAAAAAAGAGAGCGATGGCCTCCAACAGACATTTTAAAGGTTCAAGTGCAGTGATGTCTTTTAAACAAGAAAACACAATGCGATAGAAGGGGAAGGCAAAGATTCCATGCAAATTCTGCCGTCCTCTTCGAAGCTTGCTGGTATGATTCGTTGCTGTCCACATGCAAGGCTGCGCGTGCTACAGGCCACGCACCACACATGACAAACCACGTGGCCTCTCATGACATTACAAATTAAACACGTTGCAAACAACATATGGCAATCAATATGAACAACCTTGCTTGTGTAGTAAAGCCAACCAGCCAACCTCTGAAAGATTGGGTCTTATGTTGTCTCAAGTCTCAAAGCTTTTGCGTTTCGTGTCGGCCATGCCGGCGCAAACCGGGAAATACGAGTGGTGTTATGCCTCTGGAGAGGAGAGCGAGGAGATCAAGGCATTCCGTAAATGTGGTGCATATGAAAACGAGCAAAAGGAGAGAGGAAGAAAGAAGATGGCGATGGCCTCCAACCTATTAGAGAAGAAGAAAGAAAGACTATGTGATCTACAGAGACAGAAATACGAAGAGCAAGGCTACTAGTAACAAAGGGCATCGCTACTAGGAGCTCCTGGCCTTACTACTAGGAGCAAAGGGCATCGCTACTCGTAACAAAGGGCATCCCTAGCCCTAGATGTGAAGCCGGAGAGCTTTTCATTCGCTTCTCAATCTGCAGGTCTTCGTTCCCATAGAGGAAAGTATCAAGTCAAAGGATTGCGAGGAGTGGATGCATGATTTCTTGTCCATTCTTTGAGTCGCAGAATATGTTCTTAGCTTTGACTCAACGACTTTGCGTGCGATGTTGAACGTTTGCAACATGCGAATGCTCTAGTAATTACAAGTGCATCGCTAGTAGTAACAAGTGCCTTACTGGTAGTAACAAGAAGCTAGTAATTACAATTCTAATTAAATTCTTATCTGTTCAAAGCGTTTTCTGCGCCAGATTCTCTGTGCTTTTTAAAGAAGCTACTAGAAACAAGTGCCACGCTACTAGGAACAGGTGCCTTACTAGTAGTAACAAGAAGCTACTAGAAACAAGCTTTTTAAACTAACTGTCCTTCACTCAAGGTGAAAATCGCCCAGAAGACGTTGAAGGCGTCGGACTCCCAGTTGAGATGTCTACGCGAACCACGTGGTTCCACAAAGGTTGGCTTGAAAGGGAAAGAGCCTGTGATTGTTAGGCCCTCAGGAAGATGGAGTGAATTGGGCTTTCTGAGAGCCAAAGTTCACAACAAAAAGAAGCTACTAGGAACAAGTGCATCGCTTCTAGTAACAAGAAGCTATCAGATAAGAAAAGAAAAGACAGAAAGCAGAAACCTAATAGCAATGGCCTCCACCCTACTAGCGATGGCCTCCAACCTACTCAGGTGACACTCGCTGTAGACACTCACTCTTTCAGATTCCGAAGTTCA